TTGCTTCTTCGCATTTCAAATCTTTGACTTGATTCTTGCGCTCCTCTGGTCTGCTATTGGGTGTCTGTATAATATTCTTTATTTCAGTCCGTGTATGCTTAATTTCTAGTTGGTTCTTTATCATAGCATCGAGGGTCTCATTAGTTTTCGTGACTCTCTCCTCAAGTTTATTGACAGCTTCTAGCACATTTTTGCAAGCCCTCAAAATTGCGATTTTTAGCTCTATATCCTCCATTTCTGTCATGTTTTTTTGTCTCCGCATTTTTTATGCTTTCTTGGTGCACCCCCTAGTGGTCTTTGTGCGCAGTCTTGTTCTAGTTGAGCCTTGATTGTTGTAGTTAATACTAGAGGGATTTGACCACCAGGCCGACTGGCTGTGTGAATCAGCTGTGTCTGCCGCGGAAAACTTCTGTCCTCTGGGGAGGTGCTAATCTAGCCTTTGCCTGAGGCGATCCGGCAAATGGCTCTGCGCAGGGCTTGGGCGGGGCGGGCTCAACAGGGCGGGCGGAGGGAGCCGTTATGGTGCCCTCAGTCCTGTTCCCAGAGGCTCTGCTTCTCAGAACCCCCGGAACCGCTGCAAACCTCGGAGGGAAAGCTGCCTTCCAACTGATGCCAGACACTCCCGCTTCTCCCGTTTGGGTCCGAGTCCCCAGCGATTCGCCCGTATCTGGAGCTCAGAGTCTGAGACTCCCCCCTGACCGAAAACGACAACCGCGCTCTCAGCCACCAGCCCGCTTTGCGCGCGCACCTCCGCACCTGAGTATTTTCCACACTGCGCCTCCTCTGAGCCTCGGTGTGCTGTTATTTTTCCTTCTAGTTGAAGAGTCTCTCCTCAGCCAGCCTTCCTGTGGTTCTGGGTGATGTCCGTTCCGTCTTTTAGTTGTATTTTTGAAGTGGTTGTTTGCGGCAGCAGTCTCCGGTGTTTACCTATGCCGCCATCTTGCTCGGACCCCCCCGAAGCTTTATTTTATAGTCAGAGCACACAAAGCAAAACAAGGGAAGTGGTCAACATGTTTACAATGTTCTTGTGAGTTTCACCTTATTTTGGCAGCACTTGCTGTACCTCCTACAGCCCATTAGCTACCTAGGAAGGAACAAGGGAGGACTATAAGGTCAAGCTTAATTATGCTAGGAGGGCTCTGCCCTCCAAGCTAGGACTTGTTTGTGGCCCTGCCACAGGTCAGTCTGAGGCTTAACCCTATAGCCCAGTGGTTCCCAAACTTATTTGGCCTACTGCCCCCTTTCCAGAAAAAATATTACTCAGTGCCCCCTGGAAATTAATTTTTTTTAATTTTAATAGCAATTAAACAGAAAGATTAATGTTTTAATGTTTCTATCTTTTTCGTAAAATATAGTAAAGAAAGGTGTAAATTAGAAACATTGAAGTTTGAAATTATTTATTGATTTATTGAACTCAGAATAGAAAGGTAATACAAAAAAAGTTAAAACAAATGCACCTGTGGCCATCACCGCCCCCCTGGATCGCTGCAGCGCCCACCAGGGGGCGGTAGCGCCCACTTTGGGAATCACTGCTATAGCCACTCCCTACACTTCTCAAGTGCACATGGGATATTTTCAAAAATAGACCACATGTTTGGACACAAACTAAGTCTCTATATGTTCAAGAAGATTGAAATCATATCAAGCATCTTCTCAAATCACAATAGCATGAAATTAGAAATCAACTACAATAAAACATTCAAAAACATTCAAATACATGGAGGCTAAATAGCATGCTATTAAACAATGAATGGGTTTCCAAAGAGATCAAAAAGAAATTAAAAACATCCTGGAAACAAATGAAAATGAACACACACAACCGCAAATATATGGGACACAGTGAAAGCAGTCCTGAGAGAGAAGTTCATAGCATTATAGGCCTACCTCAAAAAACAAGAAAAACATTTAATAAGTTTTTTAACACGACAACTTAAAAAAATAGAGAACAATAAGAAAAGACATTTGGCTGGCTTCTTTCAGAATAAGTAGAAGGAAGGACATAATAAAGATCACTGCTGAAATAAATGACATAGAAACTAAAAACAAAAACAATACAAAAGGTCAATAAAACCAAGAGATGGTTCTTTGAAAAGATAAAGATGGTTCTTTGAAAAGATAAACAAAATTGATGATCCCTTCACCAGACTCATCAAGAGCCCAAATAAACAAAATCAGAAACAAAAGAGGTGAAGTAACAACTGACCCCACAGAAATACAAAAGATGGTAAAAAAAAAAAATACGATGAACGACTATATTCCAACAAACTGGACAACCTGGACGAAATGGTCATATTCCCAGAAAAATACAATTTTCCAAAACTCAATCAGGAAGAATCACAAAACCTGAATAGGCTAACTACTGATGAATTGAAGCAGTAATAATAATTAAAAGAAAAAAAAAAACTTCCAGGAAACAAGAGTACAGCTTTCTTTTTGAGTCACTTCCTTTTATTATTATTTTTATTTATTTACTTTTTTACTATGCCACTTAAAAAAAAAAAATACTGGTCCTGGCTGGAGTGGCTTAGTCGGTTGAGCATCATGCTGTGCACTGAAAGGTTGCCAGTTCCATTCCCAGGCAGGGCACATTTGATCCCAGGTCCAGCATGTATGGAAGGCAACTGATCCCGTTTTCTCTCTCACATTGATGTTTCTCTCTCTCTCTTTCCCTTCCTCTCTGTAAGCATGTCCTCAGATGAGGATTAAAAAAAATTGAAATTTACATAACATAAAATTATTTTACAGTGAACAGCTCAGTGGTATTAATACGCTCATAATGTTGTACAACCACTACCTCTATCTAGTTCCATCACTCAAAGTAAAACCCTTTATCTATTAAGTGGTCTCTCCCCATTCCCCTCTATCCCAGCCCCTGGCAAACACCAATCTGTGTTATGTCTCTATAAATGTATCTATTCTGTATATTTTATGTAAATGAATCATACTATTTGTGTAACCTTTAGTGGCTGGCTTCTTTCATTTAACATAATGCTTTGGAGGTTCTTGAGTCACTTTTTAACTGTTTCATTTTGTCAAACTGTTCTCGGTCACTTAATGGGAATCCCTGGTTACCCAACCTGTCTGATCAAACTTTAGTTAAATAATCAACAATATTAACAGTACTGTTAATTAACAGCAGTGCTATCTTAAGGATGGTGATAAGCACTGTTTGGCAGTTGGTTCTCTCAGAGTTGTTTTACCAAGAAAAAAAATACAGAATATCCCAAACTCACTTCCTCATTAGCAAGATGCTACCATAAGATGCCTGAAGAAAAAAAGCAGAGAAAGACAGGGAAAGCTGACCAGGGTTGAGAGCCGGCTGTGGAGGCCCTTAGACCCTGGGCAAGGGAGGTAGAAATTGCATCCTCCCATCACCGTCTGCGCTTAAAACCTGGCTGAAACAGTCCAGCCCAGCCTTAATGCAGTAATCAGGCAAGGTAGAGAAATGTTATGCATCCAATGCTTAAAAACAGAAAGGCATAGCTCAGACAAAACTCTCAAAAGCTTTTCTAGCAGAATTATTTTGTTTCGTGGATTGGATGTTTGCTAGGCTTTTATGAAGATAGATATTTTTAGATGGGAACTGAAAAATTATGGCAGCACACTTAAACGCACACCCAAAATGTCTACAACAAATACTATTTTAACTTACAGGAGTGTTATAAGAGAAGGATCTATCCTCATTTTATCCCTTTTTCTTCCTCTCTTTTTTGCATCTGATTATTGCATAGTACAAAATAATTTATATCCTAGTTTCAGCTCCTCTTTGCAAGCTTTGTGAACAAATAACTTCTGAGCTTGTCTCCTCATCCAAGAAACAGGAGATGATGACGTCCCACCTGAGAGCTGGGATGCGGTCATTGTGAAAGGGAAATGCACAGGCTCTCCCTAGTAGTTCGCGCTTATATCCTCTTCCTCCTCCTCGGTGAACACGCCCAAGTTTAATTAGAGTTGCAGCCAAACAACACTTTTCCCGTCTGCCTTCCTTAATGGACTGTGGGTGTCTAAATGCTAGTCCTGCCTGCTATTTAGCAGAGACTTTGCAGGCAGACCCCAACGAGGACCAAGACGGCGCTGTTTGGTTTGAAAACCTGGGATTCAGCCAAGGGCGGCCCTAACAGAAACCGGCAGACCCGCCGCGGCGACCGCAGCCCAGGCCCCGCCCCCTGCGCCCATTGGCCCATTCAATTCACGCCGGCACCAATGGG